TTGGAGAGGGGGTCTCGGAGTCTAATGGGGGCGGGGCTTAATTGGGGTGAAATCAGGGAGGGGGGGCTTAATTAGCCCGAGTAGGGGAGGAAGAGGGGGAGAACCCTCCCTGCTTTCCCCCAGCTTTCCTTCCTGTCTCCCCCTCCCCCCCCAATGTGATGGGAATCCGGTGCCTGGGCAGCAGCGGAAGCAACTGGGCAGCCCCTCCTCCTCCTGGGGGGGGGAGATGGCAGGGCCAGCTGGGTGGATTGCATCAGGCTGCCGGGATCTGCTGGGAGGGCTTCCCGCGGGGTCGGCTGCCAAGCAGAGCCAGGTTTGGGGGAGGGGGTCGCTGGCAGCTGCATAGCGGGAAAAGAAAGGAAAGATGGATGGAAAGGGGCGGAAGGGGTGGACAGGAAGAAAGAAGGAAGGGGAGGAAGGGAAAGAGAGGGAGGAAGGAAGAAGGGGAGGAAGGGAAGGAGAGGAAGGGGAGGGAAGGAAAGGGAAGAGGAAGAAGAGAAGGGGAGGGAGGAAGAAAGAAGGGAAGGAGAGGAGAGGAAGGGGAAGAAGGAAAAGGGAAGGAGAGGAAGGGGAGGAAGGAAGGAGGATGGGATGGGGGGGTTGAGTAAGGGGAGTCTGGTCTCAGTTTATACCCCGCAGCTGAGGAAATTCCCCCCCCTCCCCTTGGACCGCAGAAAGCACCTTCCAAAGAACTACCCACTTTGGGAAGTCTTTGGGCCTTCTCCTCTGGTTAAAATCTTATACTTCTCCACGGTTATGTTAACTAGTTTAACAAAACGTCTGCAAGAAAACCACCAAGCTCAGAGAGCACCAAGGACCCCACAAGCCCCCCTCCCTTCTAGCACTGATGATGTGCCTTAGTTGGGTAATGAAGCGTCTGCAAGAAAACCACCAAGCTCGGAGAGCACCAAGGACCCCACAGTCCTCCTGTCCCTCCCCCTCTTCTCCTTCTTTTCCACTCCCTTCTACCACTGATGATGTTACCTAGTTTGGTAATGAAACATCTGCAAGAAAACCACCAAGCTCAGAGACCACCAAGCACCCCTCATTTCAACCCTGAGCTACAAATATTCTCCTTTATAGTTATTTTTTCATCTTGCCCCCCCCTTCCTGGTCCTTTAGCCAGAGGGGGTCTTCCCCTGGGTTTGAGCCTGGATTGTAGATTGCCTAAAATAGCAATAGCACTTAGACTTACATACCGCTTTACAGCCCTCTCTAAGCAGTTTACAGAGTCATGACTTGTTATTACTCCCCCCCCCCAACAATCTGGGTCCTCATTTTACCGATCTTGGAAGGATGGAAGGCTGAGCCAACCTTGAGCCGGTCAGGATCGAAAGGAAGGGGATGGGCGGGATTGGTCCCTAGGGAACCCAAAAAGCCTTTTCCTCACCCCCCCTGGATGAGTTCTTCAACAATATTTCCTTGCTCTTCTTTCATGTATCTGTTTCTGGAAACAGCCTCCCCCCCAGGCCTTTCCATGGTGTGTATGGGGGGGGGGGAGGTGCTGATGTGGGAGAAGACTCCCCCGATGGGAGTCTAAGCCTGTCTGCCAATGGAAGCAGGACAACGTAGAGGAGGAAGAGGGGGCAGGAAATAATCGTAAACCCACTTTCTGCTTGCAGGTAAAAAAGGGGGCCATAAAGGCCGAGCACGGCAGTACACAAGCCCAGAAGAGATTGATGCCCAGNCAATTCCCAGCCATCTGGAGGAGGTTTTCTGCTCCTTTTCACCTTGGGCATCGCTTCAGAAAAGGACAAAAACCTGCAGAAGAAACATATTTGAGATGTATGTATAGTCTGATGAGGAAGACACCAAATGAAACGGGGTGGTGGGGGGGATGAAAATGTCAGTAGGAGACATAGGACATTGAGATTTTTATACCCAGTTTATAAAAACTAAACCCTAACAGTGTTTCTTAAACTTTTTTTTCCCCCTCAAGGGCCTTTCCCACTTTAAAAAAAAAATGGACCCCCAAAAGAGCTTTGGTTGATATGGGTAATAATAATAACAATAGAGTTGGAAGGGACCTTGGAGGCCTTCTAGTCCAGCCCCCTGCTTAAGAAGGAGACCCTATCTCTTCTTAAAAACTTCCAGTGTTGGAGCATCCACAACTTCTGGAGGCAGGTTGTTCCACTGATTAATTAACTGTCAGTAATTTTCTCCTTAGTTCCAGGCTGCTTCTCTCCTTGATTAGTTTTCGACAATATTAAAAATTAAAATTGGCACATTCACTGCCACCAGCCCTTCTCCAAATGAGGCAGTCGCTAAGCGAGGACTGCCTGCCAATCTATGAAACGCACCACTTCTAAGACAAAGAGCCATCGATGCAGCCCACACAAAGCAAAGCTCTTGGGGGGTCCTGCGTGATTTTGAGGGGGGGGGGGGAAATAAAGGAACCCAAGCGCAGGTTCTTCTCCTTTCCAGGCTCTGCCCCCGAGGCCAGGCTTCCTCCCCTCCCCAAGCAGCCACAGCAGGGCCGCCGGTCTTCCTCGGCCTATCACAGCCCAGGTGGAAGTCACACCGGTGAGTCTCCTTCCAGCAAGAAACTCTCCCGGTGGGTTTCTGCCTGCATGCCACGCAGCGAGGCTTTAAACATGCCCCCGCCAGAGAGAGAGAGACGGGGCCTCGGGGGTCGCGGTTTCGGGGCTCCGGGCCCCCCTTCTGGCCCGACGGCGGGGACACTCACGTTTTCGGGGCGCTGCTTTTCTCCTCCGCGGCGCTCTTCCGCCTCTCCGGAGCTCCCGTCGCCCCGCAGTGACGTCAGCCGCAGCCCAGGCCCTCCTTCCCCCCGCCGTCGCTTCCCGGGGGGCTTTCCCTAGGCTCCCCTTCTGTCCATCTGTCTACCAAAGTTGCCTGATTGGCCCGGCGCCAGAATTCAGGCGCGACGCCTTCGCAAGAAATCCTCGAGTGAGCCGACCCCTCTTTTCGGAGCGGTCGAGACGGAAAGACGCGCAGCTTTCATGCTTCCCCCCCTCCCCGCTCTAAAGCTCGCTCCGTTTTCCATCAGGCGGTAGGCCAAGACAGCCTCAACGCAGGCAGCCACGGAAAGAGGGCGGCCGGGGACCTCAACCGACGGCGACGAGGACGGCGCCGGCCCCACTTCCGTTTCCGGGTCGCTCCCAGCTCGGGGCGAAGCGAGGCGTGTTAGGGGGGGCGGGAGGAGAAGCAGGAGGACTCGCTCGCCGTCGGAGCCGCCATCGTTGCCTGACCTCGCTATGCCCAAAGGAGGTGAGCGCCCAGCCGCCCGCCGGAGGCTCCCGCCGCGGGGCCCGTTCCGGGGAAGACCCAGCTCCTCAAGCAGCTGGACTACACTCCCCATCGTCCCCGGCCGGGCCCCATGGGCAGTGCAACCCGCCCCCCCCTCTGCCCGGAAGGGCCGGGGTGCCTTGGAGGCGTTTCAGGGCCTTTCCTGCTGATTCCTCTCCTTAAAAAAAACACGAAAGAAACCCTAAAATTGGAGAGGGGGGGGTTGTTTGGATAGCATTCAAGGGCTGCCCCCCCCCGAGATTCTTCCTTTAAGGAGGTGGGGGCACAAATTAGGGTCAGATCAGGGGGTCGGGGGGGGCTCCCTGAGAGCCAAATCAGCGGGTGGGGGGGATTAATTAGTGCCAAATTAGAGGGTGGGGATTAATTAGTAGCGAATTAGAGGGTGGGGGGG